TTCATTGTTGCTGGAACCTGGGATTTTCATTGTCACTACACTGTAGCTTTGCATATGACAATAAAGCATTTCAGTCTTAGTTTTGGATGAGAACTTCATTTTTAAGATTCAGCTTCTTTTCTTATTTCTTCATCCTGCAACAAACTTAAGTCCTCATTCTGGCTCTCAGTGGGTTTCCCTTCAGAAGTGGTGCTGTGAGTCATGAAGGGTCACATTGGAGCCAACACCATTACCCCGTTCTCTTTCCCCTTCTTCTATCCTCTACTCCAGTCCATGCCTCATAAATGTCATCCCGGCCTGTGTACGCATTAATCTCTATGAAGCTGGGGCCCAGTGACTCTCCAAAACAAACCAGTCTTGTTGAACTGCTTCCCTGCTGAATGCTAGAAGCTTGGCAGAGCTGGAGGAAACAGAGAAGTATGGATTGGGAGCGATGGAGGGAGAGAGGAGGGGTGTCTATGTCCATTTTCTTTTTTTGTTATGGATGTGAGGCAGCAGCAACAACAGTGGGGTCTCCAGTGGGAAAAATATCAGCAGCATTATAGAGTGGGGTTGAGCCTGCCATCACTATCAATGAGAGGAAGAGGCCTGTCACTGTGCACAAAGGGGAGACAGACACAATGCCAGACAAAGAATAACGGGAGGGACGGAGGGAAGGAGAGAGGAGAAGAGGGAGACAACACGCAAGGAAGCGAGAGTCTGACAAAGAGAGGGATTAGAAAGCATTCCAATTAGGAATGGAGGAGAGGAGAGAGCCCCGATGAGAGATGCAGATAAACGGGCAAATTGAAAGAGATGGAGAAAAGATAGCAAGCCAGAGAGGGGAAGACAAAGAGGATAAGACAAAGGACAAGCAAGAGTGAGCAAAACACAAAAAGGCACGGGCCAAAGAGAAAAAATTAATGACTTTAACGAATGACGCAAGGAGGAACAAAAGGGAAGAAAATAGACAATGAGAGACAGAATTAGATGAAAGGGAGAAAAACGTCCTGTCACAGTGGCTTCAGAGCCCGAATGTGGCTCCGCTCGATAAGACGAGTGTTTGCCACCTTCTACGCTGGCATCCGAGCCCCTGCCCCCCCACCCCCCCCTTCCTCCAACCATCTGTGCCATACAAACACACCAAGCTGTCCGTCAGCGGCTCGAGCTCACGACTGTTCCAGTTCGGTGACATCAGCCCGGCTCTCTGTGACAACCAGGGGCCCGGGGATCTGTGACATCACCAGAAGTGTCATTTACGCTGGGGACATGTCCCGACCACTTTTTGAAATGGCCAATTTTGTCTCTACCACTTATTAAAAGTAGAACTTGATGTACATTTTTTTTTTTAAATAGCGTACTAAACAAGAGCCCTGGTTTATTTTGCACAAGAGAATGTACATCTAGAGAACAGTTGGTATGTTCACTTTTGGTGGGTGTATTTCTGGGGAACCAAGATGTGCAATTTGGACATGTTAGTAAACTTTAAATAGAAAATGTAAAAACAAACATTGCTACTTACATAAAAAAAAGAATGTCAACTAAAAATAATTCCTACTTACTCTACTGACTCTAAAATGACCCAAACATATGCTTAAATATTGTTTGGCTTGTTTGCCTGAAGTAAATGTTGTCTTTTTGCTTTCTTTTCTTCTTGGATAGTACTAGAATGCGTATTTAAAATGTTAAAATAAAAAATCTTATAAGGGAGGATCGACCCAGAATCCCTGCAGGGTTTCGGTTTACAAACATGTCGTCTTTTTCACATGAGGTGAGTTTTTATGTCTCGCCGTGGAGAACAGGTGTGTGCAAATCTCATAAATAAAAACGGAGATCATTTGCTTCCTCAATAATTGTCCCCCCGCCTCCTATAATGGTTCCCATGACAATAGTCTGTAGCCTGACACTGTGAATCCTGTCAGGTGTTGCTGACGAATAGCAGGGAAACTAGTGTGTACAAAAAAAAGGGTGGCGCGCAATACAGTTTTATTTTTATCTGAAAAAAGGGTCCCCGCCACTTTTCAAAACAAAGCGACATCACTTACCAACAAGTGGAAGGTGCAAAGTAGTTAGGGTTTCAGTCATGTGAGCTGGGATCCCAACCGCAGGGCCTTAATGGTTATTCTGGACCCAGAGAGGAGCAGGAAGACGGAGGGAGAGTTCGCCGGGACTTTTGAGGAGCTGATCGACTCAAGTTCCGCTCTCCTCCCTTTTTTCCGTCTAAAGCTGCTGCGAACAGCTGTGGGGATTTGAGTTGGCCTTACACACCGCCCAGCAGGGTAGCACCCGTTGGCCAGGAATGACTGACATCTGACAAAGAGGCAAAGTTCCACACAAGGATGAATGACTTGGAGAAATCTGCTCCCCTAGAATAGAACCGTAGTGCTCAGAGTTAACCCGTCGACGCCTCCAAGGAAATGTGGTGAAAAAACAGGGTTGGTTACAGTTGTTTGGTTCAATAATGTCATCAAGGGCTGCAACTAATGATCACATGTACTATCAACTGATTCATCCATGTTTTGGGCTGATTAATGTCGTCTTTGAAAGTGAAAACTGCCTCGTATTTTTCCACAGCTCATCGAAAAGTCTTACAAGTTGATTGGTGTCCCGCAAATGGTCCAGAAACAAAAGATATTCAATTTAGAATAATACCAAACTGAGGGAAAACATAAATATTTGAGAAGGCGAAGTCTGCAAATAGTTGGCCTTTTTGCTTTAACTCAACAATTGTCCTAATAGTTAGTCAATAAAATCACTAATTGTTTGAGCACCGATACCATCAGTTTAATCCGGTCCAAAAAATTTTTTATATACAGTGGAAGTTATCCACTTCTTATAAATTCATTTGTTTTAATAAACAGACTAGCATCAAATATGTTATTTATGCCCTATTTCCTGCCTTAAATTGAAGAAAACACAACTCAATACTTCCAAGTAATCAATTATTTGCAGTGCCCTGTAAGAGCATTGCCGTGTGTGTGACTCAAGGAGCTTTTCACAAAAAGTAATATCATATCCATGGCAACAAATCTATTATCCCAGATGAAGAGTGAAAGGCGTGACATGTAATGGAAAAAGATTAAATGTCTACAAGATATCCTCAATTGGTCAGAGTGAAAAAAGAGAGCGCACTTTGTCTTTCTCTTGCACACACACTTATTACTCGACCTATCACAGTCTCTATATCCGTTAAAGTTCCTGCCTGGCAGTATCTGGAGAAGCTCTCCCTGAGTTCTCTCTGAGCCGGGCAGGAATCCAAGCACTCTCCGCAGGCTTTGATGAAGTGTGCTGTCAGGATGTCAGCCTCCATCGCTCTGCGGCTCACCTGGGACCCCCCTCACTCTGAACCCATCCGAAAGTGAAAAAGGAAGCAAAAGGAGGATATATCTGGCCTCCTCATCTCCTCCTCACTCCTTAAAAATCTGCCAATAGAAAGGGAAAATTTGCTTGGTTCGATTTTTTTGAAATAAGATGGGATATTTAGATACATTTGATCTTTTAATAAGCTGGTAAAACTTATTTTGAACTATATCTTACAAGGAACAGTCAATGTTGTGTTACAAAATAAGCCTGACATGCTCAACATTTTTCAGTTAGTTAGTTTATGATTTTACAATAAGATTGTTTTGTTTTTTTTAAATCAAGTAAGATGTATTTCTTGAAACAAGATGATACATCTTTTACAAAAACCCAAGCAGCTATAAAAAAAAACTTGTTTCATTTGAGATACAACTCAAAATAAGATGTTTTCAAGAGTCTTGAAGATGCATTGTCTAAAAACAAGACCCTATATATCACTGCACTGTTACTTCTTAAGTTATTATATCTGTTATCAAGTGTAAAGACATATTCCGACTAAATATTAGACTTGGCAAGATTCCGAGTTTCTAAAGCGTAACAATATGGATTATTTGTATTTCATACTCTTGTTTTCTCTCGTTCCTCCTGCTGCTTGCTGGCTGTCAGCAGGTTAAAAATGGCTGGGCACTAGCGAGGGAGAAACAATTACTCATGGCGCAGGCTGTGTAGACTTTAGAGGCTCTGTACTCCTCTGCGATCTCAGGGCCATGTGTTTCTAATTAAACGGTGCACTGGAGGAATTATCAAAGCTTAGGATTGCATAATGAGCACTGGCACATATCTGTGGCAGGCAGTGACACTCTAGGTCCCGAGAGGAATACGGTGGTGAAAAGTGAATTAAAAATGGAAGCGTTTCAATAAGTGTCTGGGAGGAGCATTTGTTTTTGTGTGAGAGGATTCTCTGATTGTATTGTATAATTGTTTTTTTTAATAATCAGCACCCATATGTTCCTCTAAATGGAAAAACCCCAATAAAAATGGCCAACAGACTACTTTACCTTTGCCAGTAGAAGATAAAGCCTTTCAGTTTATTTTGTAAGAGTGTTTGATGGCACAAACATGCTGGGCAGCATAGTTAACATGAGAAAGCACTGCCATTGGTTATTAGTTGGTTGTTATTAGTATGTAATACCCCATACTAATTTAATCTGTCATAATTTGATTCGCATTCTAGCATCGCTCCGAAAAAGTTGATAAAAATGAGCGTGTTGACCCTAGTGTTACGTTTCCATCGACAGAGTAATTTAGCCAAAGAATAAATGCCAAATTGAACCTTTCCCACTGAAGACAACAGCCATAAGTTATTGGGTTTTTCTTTTTTACAAAATGTGCACATATATGTTCCTTTAATTTGGAAAACCCCAATCCAAATGGCCAATAGGCTACTTTGTCAGTAGAAGATCAGCCTCAAGAGCGTTTGATGGCACAAACGTGCTGGGCAGCATATTTAACATGAGAAAGCACTGCCATTGGTTATTAGTTGGTTGTTATTAGTATGTAATACCCCATACTAATTTAATCTGTCATAATTAACGCCAAACGGAGTTGGTGAATTTCACTTCTTTAAAATTTGAATAAAATGGGTTTAACAACGATAATGTTAAATTACAGTTTTGTTCAACTGAGTCTTCTTGCTATGATAAGAGCCTATTAATTGGAAGTTTCTATGTTAAGTTAACAAATTGTAATAACTCTTAAAATCCATAACATTTTGATTTATCATATTGATTTTGATTCGCATACTAGCATCGCTCCGAAAAAGTTGATAAAAATGAGCGTGTTGTCCCTAATGTTACGTTTCCAAGATCAGCCTCAAGAGCGTTTGATGGCACAAACGTGCTGGGCAGCATATTTAACAGGAGAAAGCACAATCAATGCTATTAATTGTTGTTGTTTTTACACCCCAAACTAATTTAATCTATCGTTTTATACCAGAGTTGGTGAATTTGACTTGTTTTGAGTTTCAAAAGGGGGTTCAACAATGATAAAGTAAATGTACTGTTTTGTTCAAATGGGTCTGGTGGCTTTGAGTAGAGCATATTGATTGTTCGTTTTTACGTTAATAAATTGTAATAACTGTCAAAATCCATACAAATGTTATTTATTAAATAATGACGTCTGCGCAATGTAGAATCGCACCCAAAAAGGAGCTAAAATTGTGCGTGTTCACCCTGGTGTCATGTTACAGAGTCATTCACCCTGAGAATAAATGCCAATTTCAACTGAAGACAAAAGCCAGATGTTGGGTTTTGCCTCTGGTGGGAAACACTTAAAGCCATGTTACTGCACCATCACTACTAAAATATTGCTGAAATCTGAAATCAAGATGAAGTAATTCATTAAAAAGGGCTGCTGTAAGCCTGATTCTATTCATAAAAGACGTTTGTGGCATCAGATCCCGTGCCTCTGCTGGTGTGATGATCACTCACACCTCCCTGCTCCTCTCCTCAGTGTTCCTCTCCTCACACACACCATCACACACACACCAGTTGGCCGGAGACCGACATGGCTGATAGAGCTCGCCAAATGGAGGCATGTCCGTCCGTACACACCGAGAGAGAGAGTACATACAGACGCTGCTGTAATAGACGTCGGGTCAGCTTTTGTGAAACATCACACGTGAGCCTACACACGCATGTGCCTCTACCACACAAAGGACACACACACACTTTAATCGCGGTCTCCATGGTGATTGTTTTAGTGGCCATGTGAACTTCCCCCCCCCCTGCATCTGTTTCTATTTGTTCCTTGCGATTGAGAAACAACATAATTACTTATTCATAACCACATTTTCATTTACTACACAGCATTACCCATAAATACTGAGAATAGGAATGGAACAAAGAGTGGCGACATTCTTTAGAGGAACACAGTGTTTCTGGTAAAGCCGCCTCTTGTTTTTACTGACGTATTTTACAGACTTGATTTTCACGCAGACCATCATCACAGCCTTCAGCACATAGTCTGAGTTTAAGGTTTACATTTCTAACAAGGAGAGTCTGGAAAAGAAAGCCTGCCTGCTCTACGCCAAAATGGCCATTTTATGCACCGAGTCCATCTGCTGGATAAAAGGAGAATCACAGTGTACTTCATCCTGTCCTTTGAATGTTTAATGCTGACTCTCAGAGGTGGGAGGAGTACTCCGATTGTGGACATGAGTAAAAGTAGAAGTACCAGAGTGTGGGAATACTCTGTTACAATTAAAAGTCCTACAATCAAAATGTTACTCAAGTAAAAGTACAAAAGTATTATCATCAAAATATAGTTAAAGTACCAAAAGTAAAAGTACTCGTTGTGCAGATTGGTCCATTTCAGAAAAATATATATGATATGTTTTATAATTATTGATCATTAAAGTGTTATCAAAGCTGATAAAGGTGCAGCTAGTTTGAATGACTTTGTATACTGCAGAGGTGGGAAGTAACTACCGTAAGTACATTTATGCAAGTACATTCGAGGTACTTGTACTTAACTTGAGAGTATTTCCAATTAATGCTACTTTATACTTCTACTCCACTACAATTAAAAGGGAAATAATTTAATTGTATTTCAATACATTTATTCAAAAGCTTGTCACAAAAGAGTCACATTATTTAAATATTTAACAAGAAGTAAATCAGAACTTTGTTTGTGTCCAACAGTAAAATGCTGCTTGATGCAACAATATTACTGTATGTAGAAATGTCACAAATACTGTATAAATATACACACACTAAAAGGCCATATATCTACACAATGAGTACTTTTACTTTTTAAACTTTCAGTACATTTTGTTGATAACTCTTTTGTACTTTTACTAAGTAAGATTTCAAATACAGGACGTTTAATTGTGGTGAAGTATTTTGACAATAATGTATTAGAAATGTTACTAAAGTAAAGCATCTGGATACTTCTTACACCACTGGAGTGATGCAGGGTAGCTTGTGAATTTACTCCAAGTGGAACTAAAGTCTGATTTAAGACTTGATTATATTTCACATCATTCATCCAAATCTGTAAAGTAACTAAAGCTATTAAATAAATGTAGTGGAGGAAATGTACAATATTTACCTTGGATCTCATGGGGAGCATCTCTCATGCAAATATATGTGAAAAGTAAAGCTGGGGAACCCACACTCATACAGCTCACTGAGGAGCAGGGAAGACGCCAGGAGTAATGTGAGGCATGTGTGTCAGAGACAGTCTTAACTCTGGGTTATGTGTTGCATGGATCCTATTCTGGCAGTGTGTGTCCATGTGTTTGAGTGTCTGTGCGATGGTATGTGGGTTTCAGAGTCATACAGAGTTTCCTTTATACACACAGACACACACACAAACACACACATACACACATTGCGGTCACGATATTGGTGAGCCTTTCCTTGCCACACAGAAGAAACAGATTACCAATGTCTGCTGAGCTCTCTGAACACCAGACTGTCAGCGGTAAATATTTGGACCCTGTAGAATTCAGGAGGATTTCAGTAGATTAGTATATTATAGAGAATTCCAACTTATTCTGTATATTTGATATGTCCTTTTTACTGAGAATACTGTATGTATATTGTTTTTCACATTTTCATTTTTGTATGTTTATCTTTATTGTACTTTTATTTTAATGTACGTTTTATTTTTTGCTTTATTTTAATGGTACAAAACGAGATTAATAAAAGTTATAAATATCCTAAAAATAAAATAATAATAATAATAATAATAGACATATGAAAGATAAGGACAAATAAATAAATATAATAATATTAATAATAGGGGGGGGATTCCATGTGTGTCTGTGTACTTGCGTGTTGCTAAGGTGAAGGCTAGTGTCATTTAGGCTGGGGCTAACTGGGTAGTGTGCTGGACTTCAAATCAGGGGATAGCAAGTTCGAGTCCCACTGCAGTCAGCATGTCGTTGTGTCCCTGGGCAAAACACTTCACCCCAAATTGCTCCTGTGGGGATTGTCCACAGTACCGAATGTATGTAAGTCGCTTTGGATAAAAGCGTCTAACAAATTAGATGTAATGTAATATAATACACATCCATCAGGAGGTTAAGGACCCTGGAGGGGATTAATATGTGGGGAAAGTGTTTTTAAGTACTTCTGTAATTCTTGTAGATTAACTGTCAAAATGCTGCTGGGACAAAACTATTTCCCAACTTGGGATAAATAAAGTATCTATCTATCTTCAAATCACCTGCGAGGGAAAAGCAGAAGAGGAGTTGATTCAGAAAGTGAGCCTGTAGTAGGAAGAGTAGGAATTCCTCTTAGATGCATGAGATCTACATTTCAGACGACTATAATAAACACATATATATAGAAATGGCAAGCCCCTCTGCTGCCTCTGGTTTCTATTTGGTTTGAATTTGCTTCATTATTGTGTTTATCTTATGTACATATGTGTGCATTACCAAACCAGCTTTCATACACAAAGAACCACCACTCTTCCAAATAACCTTTCTTTTAGGGTCACGAGGAGAAAGTTCACAAATCCAACCTACGTTCTCAAGATTGAAAAGCAATTGAACGTGAGGCAATTTACTTTGGGAATAAATTGCCAGGATATATCAAGGATGTGTATAGTACTTCTCTTTACTATACTTTCATAAAGAACCACCACACTTCAAAATAACATTTTCTTTAAGGGCCTCCAGAAGTAAGTTCTCAGCGCAAATCTAACGTACTTTTGCAATATTTAAAAGTCACCTATTATGCAAAATTCATGTCTCTTAAACATAAACATGTGTCCCCCCCCTCTGTGTAAAGAGATTCTGAAAGTGTTAGGAACAAAAGACCCCCTCTCTTTTTGTCCTGATCCATTTATATAAAAACCTGTCTGAAAATGAGCTGATCAGATATTAGCCACTTTGTGATGTCATAATGTATTTTTGGCTTGTGTAACCATTAGCCAATCACCAACCAAGAAGGCAGTATGCGAAAAAGTACACGTCCCACCGTCCGGGACGTTTACAATATCGGACAAGTAGATATTTGAATTGACTTGTCCGGTGGACAACTGACGTTTTTCGCCCTGATTTATTGACAAATTATTGATAAATTCAGTTTACAAAAGGCAGGACTCATTCGCAAATTGTCAGTGTCCGCCATTGTTCGTTTAGAAATGTTAGTTTCGGTTCTGCTTTTCGATTCCTAAGGAAATC